AAGAAATTCGGTGTGCTTGCTTTTGGGGAGAGGCAAAAAATGGTGGCAGGGGAGTCAATTTGGAAAGAGTAAAAGGATGAGGGAATGAGGGGATGATGTGCCCTCCTAATTGGAGAGGATGTGAGAAAAGTTTTCTTTTTCTTTTTTCTTTTTTTTACCTCTCCAAATTTCAGGTCTTTATCTAAAAAATGGAAGATGAAGTTGGTTCCTAAATATATGAATTGGGAAGCAGTGTGGCATCATGGAAATGGCCTAGATGTTAGAGACTAAAAGACCTCGGCCTTCACCCCACTTACTTGCAATGTCACTTTGGGCAAATAATCTAACTTCTGCAGACTTCAGTATCCATGCCTTTGAGACAGAGATTCCAAAACTTACTTTAACATATGTCAAATGCCTAGGGCAGCGTCAGGCATACACAGTAGACATTCAGTAGATGGTACCTATCTTCTTCTACTCTTCCACCTTCTTCTCGTCTTTTTCTTCCTCTTCTCCATCATCATCATCACCATCAATATTACATCAAGTTCAATATTACGCAAATTTCCTTATAATAATGGAGGAAACTACGGTACAACTTTGAATGTATATTTCTAACCAGTAGATGGAATATCTTGGAAAATCTTTAAGTCTTATTTGATATGGCATGAGTACAAATGGTCAGTGCTTATTCTTGGCATTGCTCTGACTCTCCTAGGTCTTATCTTTCAGTTAAGTCCCAATGTCCATGTCCTCTCTTACCTAGCCTCTGTACACCTCTCCGCCATTAAGATTTCATTTCTGCCAAGCTCTCCCCAATCCTGCATTTTACGTCTACCATCTGCCTTCTTTCTTGACTCAAGAATGCCGCTAACTCATTTTCCAAATCTATCCTTTTAAGTTACTACTCTCTTTCCTTCCTATCAGCTGGAAATGCCCAACATGTCACAACAAAATTGAGGACAGTGACTCTAGAGAGCTCCTAATTTAATTGCCAAGTACAGACAACAGTGAATTCTACCTCTTGAGAGAATGAAGGAGAGTTGCGAGGCAGGCTATGACTGTTGGCTAAGTTTGATAAAAATTCTGAACGGAATATTTCCAGAAATACTTAGGATTTCCTAAAACATGGGTCTCTGACACTTCTGTGGAATTACTGCTTTTTGGGAAGAATTCATTTTCTTCAATTCAGACAACAGATCTTCATAAGGTAAAGTTTTTTGTACAGTCTTGAATTGCTTAAGCTCTAAAGAACACTAGGGAAACACCTCTAGGTAGGGTAAAGCTCCACAGTCAGCAAGGGCAACTCATGTGGGGCTGCTGGATCCTTCCAGGGAATCCGGCCTTTAGAGATAGGAAGTACAGACAGACTGGACAAGCTGTGCGGATCAGGCCAACCAGTAGTAGAAAGATGTGGAAAGAGCCAGACCTAAATGCAAATCTAAACTACCACTGTCCTAACTATGTTGCTTTAAATGAGTTACTTTACTCCCCTGTCTTTTCTTATTTCCAAAATAGGGGTCATGTTGCCTACTTCATAGGTTTAAAAGTGAGAGAAGTGAGTGCTCTCCCAAGTGCCCACTCTCTTCTCTATCCTTATTAAAATTCTAGAATGTTCTTTTTCTCTGTTCAGGATGAGAAAAATTATTAGTAAAAATAGACTACAATCTAAATTATCTGTTGTTTGCCTTTACACTTTATGAATCTTGAAGGTCAGTAATGGCAGAGAAATAGGAAGTCAACTCAAAATCCTTTGAAAACAAGAAAACTTGAGTCTTCTGAGATATCAAAGGCAATGATTTAGTTTAGAATTGTTGTTATCATCATTATTATAACAACACCCATCACAACTTTTGATGTGACCTAATCTATACCACTTTTGTGTTTACAAGGTGCTCTCTCATAGATTATCGCATTTGACCTGCAAAACAATTCTGTAAGGTAGGCAGGACAGAAATTTATTTTGCTGTGTTACAGGTACGTCCACTGAGGTTCAGAGACCTGCTGTGATTCACAGCTAGTAAGTGGTTACATCAGGGCTCAAATCCATGTCTTTTAACCCCAAATCCATTGCTGACTCTTCCCTCATCCCAATTAAGTCCTCAGCTCTTAGATGCTTACCCATCAGACAGGAAGTATAAAAATATGTATGTGATTGCCCATTGCAGATAAAAAAAAAGAAAAAAAAGATACATTTCACGAGACAGCTTTCATGTTGGATGAAACAAGTTTCTCCAGACCTCAACAGTGTGTAGGTATAAATTCTAAGAGTAGCTAACATTTATTGAGAACCTATTATGCGCCAGGCACCATGATAAGTAAGCCCTTTATATACACTTCCGTTTCATCTTCACAACACCCTGTAAAGTTGGTGGTACTATCCACAACTTAACCCATTGCCGTCGAATTGATTCTGACTCATAGTGACCCTATATGACAGAGTAGAACTGCCCCATATGATTTTCCAAGGAGCACCAGGTGAATTTGAACTGCCAACCTTTTGGGTTAGCAGCTGTAGCTCTTAACGACTATGCCACCAGGGTTTCCACCCTCATCTTAGAGAAGAGGAAATTGACCATCAGAGAGTTTAAGTAACTTGCCCCAGGTCACATAGCCACCCAGCAGAAGCAGGGCTCAGAGAAATGTCTGCCTGCCACCAAAGCACTTGCTCTCAATCATTACGATATTTACATCAGCAGCAGTAACTCAAGTTTCTCTGGCACTAGCCCCCACTTCTCATACAAAACCCCAGCTCCCTAAAGGTGCCGCCCAAAACCTTTAGAGTGTCCAAAATACTTACGGAGGTGTTTTAGATGTGCCCTCCAAGTAAGTCCTGTCAGTCCTCCTGTCAACTCTCATGTAGCATCCATCATTTCTTCACTCTTCTCCTATTCCAGCCCACACAACCTCGGAATGAAATGTTTGGTAGTGGTCATCTCCGTGGTGAGTTTGCAAATAAAAAGAAAGAAGTGTCTGGACACACAACCACCACAGTTTCTTTGGTATATCATTTTATTCAGAAGTTGGATGTTTGAGGTGGAAAGGAATGAGGGAAATGAAGTGAAGCTTCTTATCTGATAGATCTTGAAGGCCCCTGCTGACCTGGGGCTGTTGTGGTAAAAAGGCTTAGGGGCAATTACTTTACTTCCCTGAGCCTCACATTCCTCACCTGTACAGTGGAAATAATGCCACCTGCTTCACAGAAGTGTGTTGTGCCTTGAGTGAAATAAGGTATGCAAACCATATAGTCGAATGTTTGGCACCTGTAGAAGCTAAAACAAAAAGAGGGGTTCCTTCTCATCCAAACTCCTATTCTATAGGAAGACCTAGCTTCTCTCCTCATTAGCAGTCAATCACTTAACAAACTAGTATTTCTTGAGTGATTTACAATGTTCAAGCAATAAACAAGTTCTTTTATAGGAGAGTATGAAAATTGCATAAAGAGGATAGAAAAATCCCTCACCTAGGATTTTGCTGAAAATTAGTATAGAAAGTATAATCAGATTAACATATTATTATTGCAATGATGAGTCTAAGACCAGAACAAAATACTGTTTTGCAGAATTTTTCTCTATAATGCTGTTCGCTATAAAGGTATAGCTGGCCCAGACAGCTTCGGACACATTTCTGAAAAGATGTAGACTGAGTCATTTGTCATTTGTCTGGAAATGTGGGCAAAGCCCACCATAACCTTGGGTGAAAAGGCTGTGTAAAAATGTTGAAAAGGAAAACCACCATAGGATTGCAACCATTCATCCTGATAATTTCCAAAGACTTACAATGGCCACCGGTGGTCAGCCAGTGCGGTGGCCTTTGATTACTCCAGGGTTGCTGCCAACGTGAGGTAATGGCGAGAAGCTGGGGAGGAAAAGGCAACTCTGGCTAGACGTGCCACAGAACAGCCAACTTTCTGGGCCACAAACTCACTTTGTCTCAGAGGATGATTTCCTGGTTCCTTTTTAGTCAGATTATTTCAAATTGATAAAGAACAGAGCTTTCCCACCCCCTGACCTCCTCTCCACAGGAACAAGGTCGGCGTGACTTGGCAAAAGTTCTTTTCCATTATGAGAGGTACTGTGCCTATAGAAACGACTCTAAATGTGAATTACTCAACTGAATTTTCAGGTGATTTCTTTATAACATCTGTCGAGTATGAATTTCTTCTTAAATTAAAAAATAGGACTATTGTTGTTCTCAAGTTAAGGAGGCTAAAGCTTAGTAAAATTCTCCAACCTGATTTATTACCTGGATTTTTTTTTTTCCTCATAGATTAGTTTTTCTTTCTGTTTTTCTTCTTTTCTTTTGTTATTAGTATTTAATGATACCAAGTATTTTGATGTGGGACTGTAGGACGATTCTTGGCAAAGTCCCAAATAGGCTCAGGAATTGAAGTGAAAATTTATTAAGGCATTAAAGTTGCTTACAATCATTTGTCATACCTTTTATCATAAAGGCCTTAAAAGTATTTAATGAAAATCAATACAAGGTTGGTAGATTAAATGTACACTTGGAAGTTTATTAGAGGCTTCATCTATAAACCACATAGTATCTCATAGTTTAGACACTAAAGAGTGGGTATAGCTAATGCAGAGTTTAGGATTAAACAGTGAAATCAATAACTGCAGTGTTTTTAGTTCAAATATGGAGGGGGGTACAGCTAAAAAAAATAAAAGCAATTCTACTCAGACACACAAAGGTGAAAGATGACTTCTTGACTGCCCCCTCCCGCCCCTCACTTCTAGATGATGGCACCTCCATCTTGGGCGTTCTCCATCAGTCTGTTGGTTTTTGTGATTCTATGAAGAATGCAGTGAGTCCAGGTCCATAGCCAAAACTAGCCCCTGATCCCCCTTCATGGAAACCCCCCCTCAGTGCTGAAGGTGTGTCATTTTGCCTCCTCAGGCTGTCAGCGAATGATGGGGCTGAGTCACGTCTGCCCACAGCTGCCGATGTTTGCATCCCTGGGCACTGAGGTCTGAAACTTGACCCTGGCGAGGACCAGCCCTACCCCCTTGGAGGAAATGGCTAAGCAGCCTCAGCAACTGCAGATGAAAACTTCCTTCCTCTTCATCCAGCTGCAGGCCCCCCCTGCTCCAGCTTTCCCCGCCCCGTATCCAACCGCTGTAGCCTGGACAGCAGCCCCAGGGGGGCCGGAGGAGGGACACATTTTCCGGAGTCCCAGCACAAGCTTCTTGGCAGGCCGAAACCTCAGGCACACACAGGGGTTGGCTGCTCCTCCCTCGCGCCCACTGCATAGGGAGGGCCGTGGGACAGAGGCACCAGCTGCTTTCGGTTGCTCTGCGCTGAAGGAGAAGAAGGAGGGGGCAGAAAAGCCCCCAAATCTGCATCTGAGGAGGGGTAGGGTTTGTGGATCCCCACATCGAAGGCGTTGCCAGGGTCCTGCCTCCAGGAAACTTGGACAGCTACCCCTGCCATGCAGACGTCCTAGTCCGGCTCTCCTCATGAGCCATGGAAGCAGCAGTCCCTTCATGAGCTGTGTGCACTGGCCGGTCACCTCTGCCCCTCAGGGCCTGTGGGGCATGGATCACCCATCTGGGGATTCCTTGGTATGCTCGATTCCACAGGCCACTCTGGCCCATGCTGCTGACAAGGGTGAAAGGGCAGTGCTGAGGAGAGTACCGGTACTTCTGAAAAGCTGTGAAGAGGGCACAGACACCACAGTGCGGGCGAGGAGGGCTCAGCTCTGCAGATACTGCCCGCTTGTTCAGACCAGCAAGAGCTACCCGGCCCCACCTGCTGCTCTGCCTCTCAAGGTAAGATCTTGCATATGGCTGAAACTCCTAGGCCCCAGCTCTCAACCGTTCCCATGACCACCAGCAGAAGACAGAATGGAGGGAGGGGATATAGATGCTCAAGGTGGCTCTCTTTTCCTCACACCTAGGTCTCTTCTCAGCTATGGATGGGCTAAACCTCTGATAGCAGAGGTATCCACCGGGCACTGTCCCCCAGGCCTGGTCCTGGCTCTTTCCTTTGTTTTCTGCCACCTTCCCAGCCCCGGCAACGTTTTGTTTGGAAGGAGACAGTGAATGATTGTTTCCCAAGTTTTCTGCCACAGATGGGAGAAGAAAAGTCGGGTACAGAAGTGTGTAGCTTATGGGGGCAGACAAGAGGGGAGGGCAATGAAGATACACACATTTATTGAGCCCCTGTGATGTACCAGCCGTTATGCTGGGTGCTTTCTCACATCTCATTAATCCTCATAACCACCCTGGGAAATAGTTTCATTTCCTCAATTTCAGGTGAAGTTGAGAGGTAGCTAGGTAAAAATTCTCTCCTTCCTTCCAAAAAGACGAAGGCAGGAGCAAAACCTGTTTCAGAATGGGCACTGGGAAATTTGTTGAAAGCTTCAGCATGTTTTGTAGAAGTTTCTAGAACTGGAGCAACCCTTGGAAATCTGCAACATCCTACAGTCATCCTTGCACACTTGAATTTCTAGGTCCCCACATCTTCTTCCTGTACTCCCCACCAACTGGTGTGTAATCTTGGGCGTCAGCCCCCTAGCCTTCATCTCCCCATCAGAAAGGTGAAGGTTAGGCCTCCATGGTCTCCAAGGTCTCTTCCAGATCTTATGGGCTCTGCTTCTGATCACAGCTATGCCTTGTTGTTAGCATGTTATTCTCTGCATCTCAGACCCAGCCTCCTCATTGTGGTGTGCCCAAGGCCCAACCTGCTCTGTCCACCCAGCTCAGGAGCACTGCTCCTGAAATGTGTGGATGAAATTAAAAATTATACTATTATTCTCTCTGTGCCAGCAGCATGGCTATCTTGCTATACATTGCATGTATGTGAGTGATGGGGGCAGAGGTGAGGAAAGAGTGTGTGTGTTGGGATTGGAAGGATGAGATAGAATGATGGGGGCTCTTGGAGAGTGTGGGCGGGTCAACATGGAGAAGACTCTCATGGGAGTCACAGGAGAAATGATGAAATTCAAAGCATTGGAAAGGGGCCTTCCATGGGCTTGGAAGTGATGCTGTTTCACCTAGATTCTGTGCCTCCCTCCTATGTCTTCTACACCTCCCCCACTGACATCCCCCATTTGTTTTCCTTTTCTCTTTTCATATGGTGGACATGTGTAGCTACAGTTAAGAACCAGAAAGAAAGGATGAGTCCAAGTTCTCTTCCAAGGAGAACTCTCGTAAGAAGAGAGATGCTAGCACACTTCCTTAAGAAATAGTTTACATTCCATCCTAGTTCCAGTATCTCTCATTTCCTACAGAGATTTAGGAGGAATGACATACCCGTGCGTCAGAGTCCAGTCTCTGTGTGTGGGGTCACACAGTAATAATTTGTACACTTTAATGCTGTTCTGGTGAGTTGAAAAACCCATGTTTCTCCACTCTTCCTCTCTCCCCTTCCTGGCACAGACCAAAGCCTCCGACTTGTTGCCGTTTCTCTCAGGAAAGGTGCTTTGGGCGTTGGTCCAAGTGTGTGGCTCTCTGTCTTGTCGGCGTACTCAGCCACCTCCGCTCTCACATGCCAACTAAAAAATTAGAAGCCCAGGTTCAAGTCCTAACCTCTAGCAAGCCTACAGACCTCTCTGGGTTTTGGTTTTCTCATTTTGAAAACACTGATGATGTCACCTTCCTCACATTTGCTATGGAGATTTCTCCACTAGAAGTATTGTACCAGTGAAAGGGGCAGGCAGTAGCCCTGTCTTAAGGGAGAGAAGAGGAGAAACAAAACCAGTCAGACACCAGATAGGGCCAGGAAACCAGGGAGTTAGAGGTGTCACCATAGTGGGGGTCTTGACCAACTAGTGATTTCCACCCTAAGGCCCCTGTTAACAATGCTGGACTGGTCAGGAGACCACACAGAAGGAAGCACGGCTACAGAAACAGATCCTTGATTTTGCTGGTCAGAACTTGTGATTCCTTCTTCGACAGGGAGAGGGGAGTTGGGAAATTATCATCTACGTATCTTGAAGGCTTTTGAGAGAAGCCACGTTCTCTTAATCCTTATGGCTATTAGCCAAGAGACCCAGGCCAGTGTTGGGTGTTAGAGAAAGGATAAAAATAGACAGTGATAGTGTTTCTTTCATCTGTCTAGCCCTAGGAAGATTTCAGTGCCTTCTGGCTTTGTGAGATATGTGTATGAGAATTACACACTCTTTTTGTGCTTTGGAATTTAGCTGTATGAATCACAGCAAAGTGGCAGAAGTCTGATTAAAAACGTCCTCTTGTCAATTATGAATGGTGAGACTTTTGATTACCCACAGTGGGACCTTTCAACTGATATATTCATGAAAAAATGTGGTAAATTATATGTATTAAAGTGAAATATTGGTTACATAGAAGCAAAATCTATTCTAACACACTGTAGGATGCATTGTAGGAAGAGGTCAACCTGTGTCAACTTTCCAAGCAGAAAAATCTAGATCTTAAGAGTAAACTTTCTTTGTTGCAGTACTCCATATGGTAAAATTTATTCTCTCACTGTTGAAACATCATGGGCTCCAGAGTGAAAATTGTTGACTTGCATTCTTTCAAGTATCATGAAGAGTGATTGCACCTAACCACATTGGTTGGCTCTTTATTTATTCTGTGACAAGGCTCTAGTAAAAATAACTATAGCACTCTATGATCAACAGAGGACTTCCATAGACAATATTTCCTCTTTTTAGAACCTCAAAACTCTGTGAGAATATAAGTTATCACCATCTCCATTTCATTGATGAGGACGCAGGTGCTTGAGGATGATTAGCAACTCACTGGGGCTCAAGACTAGGAGGTAGCAGCTCAGCCCTGGAGCTCAAGCTTTCTGCTCTTAGGCTAGGGCCCTTTCAGGCTTCTTACAGTCTTTCCAGCTGGTGAGATTTCCTTGGAGGACCATCAGCATTTCCTGGTGCTTCGTGGTCTGTACTGTACTCTAATTTCTCTGGTAGTGAATGCAGGAGAACAAACCTCAGAATTATCAGGTCTAGTGTTCTATTTGGTCTTGTGTGAATGTGCGCAACCAGCCTTCTAGAAACAGTGAAGGCCTGGGCTTGGAAAACGTAGAGCTCCAGTTCTGGGCGATGCCAGCTGAGAGCTGTAACATTCCCGTGGTTAGTCAGTGTGAATCAGAAAATGTTCCATGGTCTGGGGCCAGAGCCTTCTCTGATGATCTCTTGGACCTCATGTTCTGCTGCCCCTCTGTGGGAACCCGAGGAACTGTTGATGTTTGACTTGAGTTGCGGGCTAAAGATATGAAGACATGGAAAACAGGCACAAGCCAAAAGAGAAGGAAAAAAAGCTTTCTCTACAATAGTTTTGAGAAATTTCTACAAATCTTTTTAATATTTTTAAAAATTAGCTCTTCACATCTTAAATATTTTATGTTTAAAATAACAGCGACTTTTGCATGTAAATGGCCTTAGAAAACTAGTAATGAATATATTTTTTTAATTTCCCCGAAATACCACTTTTATAAACCCTTTTATAAAAACCCTTTTATAAACACTTTTCTAAAATTCTTACCTGTAGCTGTAAATTTTTAGACTGTCTATTTTGATCTCCCTTTTTCCTTCCCCTCTCACCACAGATCCTCAAAGCCAATCAACTCTTTGAGTTCTCATCACCATCTTGTAGCAGTCTTCAGGTGAAGAGGACAGGGTGAGAATGAGCAAGACTGGGCAAGCTTGTGTGAAAGAGGGCAGGGAGTGGCACATTATTCACTAATCTAATGAATGGAAACGCAATGTAGGCTGAGACAGGGCCCTAAACTGGGGAAAAATAGTTTTGACTTTCTGTGTTTTAGATTGTTACTCCTCAAAATAAAACTCATGTCTGAAATATAAGTCTGTAAAGCACATTAAGTTCTTTGGTAGAAAGTTTTTATTTAGAGTAAAGGTCACTGGATGTGAGATTCAAGAGATGAAAATAAACACTGGTTCTACCAACTTACTAGCTGTATGGCTTCAGACAACTCATTAAACAAAGCTAAGTCTTCTCATTTGTTCTCTGAGGTCCTTCCAGTTCTGACATTCTGTCATAACTACAAATCTATGGTACTGAATTAAACTTTTAACAAATAAAAGTATTAAAACTAGATTGAATATCAACTACTTCAGCTTGTCTCTAAAGATCAATTATTTTGTCTAATGGCTTCACTGCAGGAAAATTACACCCACTAGGCTTGCCTCTCGGGGAGAACTGGAGTTTTAGTGGAGGGCTAGGATGTTATGGATGTGAGTAGGACAGTGCCTGGCACATAGTCCAAAAAAAAAAACTAAACTCATTGCCATCAAGTCGATTACGACTCATAGCGACCTTATAGGACAGGGTAGAATTTCCCCATTGGGTTTCCAAGCAGGCACTTAAAAATTTGTCAAATGAATGAATGAATGAACCTTTGAAAGGCTGCTTAATACTAACATTCAGGTATATAAGAGTCTTTTCTTTGAGCAGTAACACAAAGTTCTACCACAGAATTTCAGGGGCCAGAACTGTAAGCTGTCCTCGAATGACTTGTATTTCCTTCTCTGACCAGTTTCTAGTTGAATGCAATTCCCTTCTGGGAGTTGAGCACTGACCTTCTGGTCTACCTAACCCCTAAGAAGAAGTCATTTACCTCAGCTGGGTAAATACTCAATTAACCAAGTCTGTTTGACTTTCCTGGCTTATCATAATTTAGAATCAGTAATGCTCATAAAATGGTATTCCAGATAATTCTGTCTTTATATGAATCCTTAGAATTTTTAAATTCTAACTTAGAATTTTTAAAAAGAAAGTAGAACAAAGGGAGCACATGCATAAACGCCCTTATAGTAATTTCA